AAGTGGATTAGCATTAAAGTTTATAGATTTGTTAGAGTTTAATCTGTCTAAGAATTTGATAGCATAACTAGCTAGAATAAGAATAATGTATTTATTATAAATAGGATTAGAGATAAAAGAACAGTGAGTATATAGTTTAGTAGTTATCTTAGGAGTAGAGTATAATAAGGAGAAGGAGATAGTAAGATTATATTGCCAATAGGTTATAAGTATATATTCAGAGTTTAAGAATTGGCATTGGGCCTTACCAACAATAATTTGATTATTAAGTAATGTTATAAGCCAAGATATGGAGTGTTTATAAAAATGGCTAGTATTATAGTTATAATAACTAGTAGAAGATAGATTAAGCTATATAGAAATAGAATAGTTATATAAGAAGGTAATAATAGAGTCTTTAAGTAATTTGAACCATAGAGGAGTTTTCTCTTTAGAGATTTTATTGAGTCTTAGTAAAATATATTTCTATTTGAGGAGATAAAAATTATTAGTGAAGGTAAGTTAATCTAAGAAGAGAATATGATAATAACATAATTATTTTTTAAAAGTAGAATATTTAGAGTAGAAAAATAAGATTGATTTAAGAAAGACTAATTCCTCTTGAATTGTAACAGGTATGGATATATGTGGGCTTGGGCTAATAGTCTAGTTTATAGATTAAAAAGAGTTAAATAATTTTGAAATTAGTTGTATATTGATTGGGACTATTAATAAAAAAGTTGGAGTAGGATAAAATACTAATAGAAGACCAGAGGTTGTTTTGAAGTTATTGGATTCAAATTTAAGTAGAAATACCTAGAAGGAAGTAATTATTAAGGCATCTAATAAATTTGAAGATATGATGTTAGAGCTATATATTTTAGATGTTTTTAATATTGTATATATAAGAATAAAGTAGAATACTAGTAGAAATAGTTTAACAAAGTTTGGCTTTATGATTAACAAGGTTAATGTGTTGTCTAAAAATTTTGTCACAGGCAGATTAGCTAAATACAATATTATGAAGTCTGTATTCTAAAGTAGAAATAATAATAGTATTAATGATATAATGGGCTTATATATTTGTTATTTGTTTAGTAAAGCCTATTTTAGTTAACTAAGAGGATTTAGCTAAGATAAGTTGAGTTTGTTTAGTATATTTATTGTTGAGAGTAAACTAGCAGCCAAAGAATTTGAATAGTTTGTTAGATAGCCAAAGAAGAAGTGCTTTATTGTTAAAAAGAATAAGAAAGTAGATATTGGGTTTGGCATTGAAAAATAGAATTGACTTAGTTAGATTTTTAATAGTTATTTCTTTCTCTTTTATATTTTATTTATATACTTATACTAACAAACTATTACTATATTGTTATACAATTATTACTATAATTGCATTATATAATAATTACTGTATTTTTATATATTAACTATTACTATATTAATATTACTCTTTAATTACTACATTTTGATTATCTATCAACTATTATATGTAATACTGATAATAGTTTTTACAAGCAAAGAAAGTGATTAGTACAACTGAATTATTTAAATGAGAGAGTCTTCAGAGACTTTCTCAATTTAAATAGTATTATACTATATCAAATAAGTATTTATTATTTGAATTTAATCAAATAAATATCAAATAATCTTTGTTCAAAGCTTAGATATCTATAAAAAAATTGAACTAAGATGTATTACAAAAATATGTGGCAGATCTTTAATTTTAATTGATTAAAAAATTAGGCTGGAATTAAAAATTTATTTTGTAATGAAAAATTAAAGTTAATTCTGGGTGGAAATTAGTAAACAATTATATAATATGACCAAGATTTTAAAGTGGCTTTTAGCCAATTAAAATCAAGTATATTTTAATAATATTGATCACATTGTTTATATTGTAATCAAAATATTCGATTAGTAGGTCAAGCGGTTTGGGTTTTTAAGAGATTTTAGTTTTTTATTATAGGATAAGTATTTGAGGTGTCCGAATGCTGCCTCTACAAAGGTCTTTTTACATGTCTTTTTATACAATTTGCATTTACTAACACTTAAACTTCCTATCTTTTAGATCCTTTTTCCTTTGCAACTATTTACTGTAGGTTATGCATTTTATATATAACAATTTATACGTAATGATCATATGCATAATGAGTTATACATAATGATTTAATGCGTGATAAAACTAGATAAATAGTTACGGGTAGTATAACGATGCTTAGAGTGATAATATACATGTAATAGAATAAATAAATAAAAAAAATATAGAATAAAACGTCTATAGTAAAGCAAAAGGGTTCATCGGTGTTATGTGACTGCTGCGTCGTATGAGCCCTATATGCATCACGTTATTAATGGAACTTCTTTTTATTTTACAATATTTTTTGACTAACCAAAATTACTATATAATAAAATCATTTATAATTATCACTGGGGTACTTGTTCTTAAATCTTCCTCTATTTATCACCAAAGAAAATCATTGTCTCTGAACTAAATGACTTATTCTTATCCTATTTGACACCAATACCATGTTCATAGTAATAACTAAGCATGTATATTTTATAAGAATTTCTTCCTTTTCTATTGATTTTTGACAGTCTAAAACTTAATAGCTAAAATTGCTAGTGAGTTCAGTAATTTTCTCTGATAACTGTTTTTAGTTGATGTTTTATAGCTAATTCAAAAACCCATGCGGGAAATCAAAGAATGTGAAATTCTGCTTAGTAAAACTTTACAAAAATCTGTCAAAATTGAACTTGCTAAAAATTAGCAATTTAACGGTGCTGATAATATACTATTAAATGTAAACATTTGCAAATGTAAGTACTTTATTAGCATTTTATTACTATAATTTAAGTTTATAAATATATTTGTTAATAATTATGCTAATAAAATGCTAATATTAGCAATATATTATTGATTTTTTGGTAATAATAAAGGCCTATAAATTACCATTAGTTAACTAATTTATTAGGTATTTAAAAGTGCTGATAATGAAATAATCTTGTAATAAATTATTAAAATTGCTAACTTAGTACTAATAATGTACCATATAATGCTTGTTATTGGCAAATAATTGCATATCTCAAAATTTCAATATTTTGCAAAGAACTTACAAATCCGATTAGAGCGGGTCTTGAAATCTAGAGATCTGGGAATTATCGTGATTCTCCATTATATAGTAATCTGCATCTTTCCAAAAATTTTTTGAAAACGGCAAGGCTATAATTGGTGGGAGAATTCCAAAAAGGAAATTTCAACAATAAAATGATCAGCAATCATTGTTAAAATTTCCTTTTATGAATTTTATCGCCAACTATAGCCAAACCAAAATTTGGTCATGCTTTGAAACTGGAAACGTGATCTACGTACAGCAGGCACGTGACATGTGACCCAGGATTCCAAATTAGGATGTATCGACCAGAAACTCTAGAAAGGCTTTTTCTGGAGGAAAATCCAGAATTGTCAATACGTGAATAATAAGAAATAAAGATGAATTTGGTTTTATAGAAGGTTTTATCAATAAGGGCTAAAAAGGCATTGTAGACGATTCTAATAGTATAGTTAGTCTTGTGCGAAAATAATTATTATTAATAAAGGCTATCCTGGCCTTGGGATAAAAACTCCTGCTTTGCTTACTAAAAAGTATACTATATTCATACCTTCCTTAATTATGACACTAATTAAATTAACCACTCGACAAAATCTAACATGTCACTTTCGCCTCCGAACTTGATTTGTTGATTACCCAAACCCGGTTGCCGCGAAACGATTGATCGACAGAAATTCGGTTTACAATGTATCAATATGGAAAATAATGGTCTGAAACATATGATTTACTATGTTCTACAACATGATTTTCAAGGCAAATGCCTGTGTTACTGTTGCATCTAAAGTAGCCACCCTATCTAAAGTAGCCCTGGGCTAGAATTACGATTTAGTGCATGCATGAAGATCTAATTTCAGGGGCCTAATTTTAGTCAGGCGCTACTTTATATATCTAAAGTAGCTACTTTAGATAAATCGCTACTTTAGATGCAACATTACCAAAGGCCTATATGTTACATTTAGGTAATAATATAATTATTGCGATTTGCAAAATTTGGATCTCATTGATCGTTTGAATGATATTCATCACTCAAACGATCAATGAGATCCAGAATTTTGCAAATTATATCCTAAAAATTCATTTTACATATCGGCCTTATTACAGAAAACTAATTATATACACATAATATTTCGTCAAAATCCAGTCAAAATTAATCGTAACTAGTGATGCAAGGGAATTGTTTCCACAACATTGTGGAATTGTGGAATTGATAGTTTTAACAATTCCACAATTTAAGGAAATAGTTCAACTTTCTCTTAATATTAAACACTATAAATTATAAATATTTAATGAGTTGAAAGATTTACAGACACTATATCAAAAATCTGCAAAAATTGTATGATTACGACGTGGAGTTAGAGTTTGGATCCGGTTCTATTTTCATATGTTAAAGCCGATTAAAACCAGTTTTAATATACCAAACTTTATTTATGTGCGTACGTATTAGGAATGAAGTACAAAGTATGTAGAGTATGGTTATGGTTTACAAGCAAGTTAAGTAATATGTACAATTCTGAATATCTGATTGGATGACCATTCTTTGTGACTTGGGATTTCTATATTCGTATATATGTACACATATTCACTATATCAGATATGAGGCTTTTGCACATGACATGTGTGCTCCCACAGGTATTTAATATATATAGCTTAGTTCATGACTAAATACGTACAAAATGGACAAATAAAATGATCCCAAAACAATAGTTAAAATAAAATTTAAATAGTTGGTTTCAATATATTCTTTTTATTGATACACAATGACCATATTTATCCACTACAACTCTATAAAAATTAACGTTGTATGTTTAGGAAGATTAAAGCCAATTGAAGTAGATAATATAAAAACCGTTCATGTTCCAACCGCTAAAAAAAAATTCTACACTCGTAAACATACAAAAAAAAAAAAAAATCATGGCTGACAAATTAAGTAAAGAGGAAATCAAGAAGGTAATTACTGATAAATATGATTTTTTTATGAAAATAAGCAACCAGTTTTTTAATTTCTAAATCGCAGATTTAATTATTGTACCAGATTTTTGACTCTTTCGATACAAACGGCAACGGTAAATTATCTTATTCAGAAATTGAAAATACTGTACTCAGAACCTACCCACAATTTAATAATAAAAAAAAGGTCATAATGCGAGCTTATAAAGAAGCTGATGCTTCAAAGGTTTGTAAAATTTATACTATACAATGCATATTTGATACATACTTTCTTACAAAATTAATAATATTCAACCAGAGCGGTTACATTGAAATCGGTGAATTTGGTCTTCTTCTTGATTCTCTTAACCATTTTTATGAGCTATATGAAATTTTTCAGAAAATTGATATAGATAATGACGGGCGTATCAATTTTGATGATTTCAAAAAAGGGCGTAAGGTCCTGAAATTAACCGAATTTTCAGATGCTGAGCTTAAGAAGGAATTCGAGAAAATCGATTTGAATAATGGTGGACTTATTCTCTTTGATGAGGTAAAAATTATTAGCATTTCTGACTTAGTTCTCATTTATGTACTTTATTAATTTCTATTTTTATTTTCAGTTCTGTGAATATGCTGTCAAGAGAAACTTAGTTAAACAAGTTCATTAAAGATTTATTTTATCTGTACTGCGTCGATCACAAAATTCATCAATTATCGATCGACACATCTTATTTTTTAATCTCCACCGATTGAAAAATATCCTAGATGGAATTTTAATGTAATTAGTTATTAAATCAATTATCCACCATAAATTAATGATTATGTGACCCTCATATTGATATAGATAAAGAAAATAGCATAAAAATCAATTTTGATTTAATGAAATAAATAAATTTTTCATAGGTTTTATTCTTCAACAATAACAATGGAATCACAATAATATAATTTTTAAGTTTCGAATCTTTTGAATGTATCTTCGAAGCCTACGTTAGCCAAAGATAAATAAGTGCTGCTTAATGGTTAGAAATTACTATGATGTATTTGAATATATTGTAGCGGTTGAAAGGAGAGCGAGTAAAACAATTGTAGACAGTAGGCAAATTTAACTCCAACCGTGTACGAGGGAATGGTGGAAAGATGAGTTTATATACGTAATATGGCCAGAGTACTGAAATCGAAGGTGGTATGTTAAGAAATTCCGGAATCCAATATTCACCAACCAGAATCTGTATAGCGAGCTTTAATTCTGATTTGCTAATCATTTAGATGTATCACATATATATTACATATATTATCTGACTTTAAATGCTATGAAAACGAATTGTAGAATGAAGCCAAATACATATGAGTGCCGCCAAGGGAAAACCCACAATCGGGCTTTCAATGCTCGGATTGTTTTCTGTATGCCATCTAGGAATAGTCTATCATCGGCTTTCAATTTTATTTTAACAAAATATAATTTAAAGCCCGATGATAGATTTTCCCTAGACGGCACACAGAAAACAAACTGAATATTGAAAGCTCGATTGTTGGTTTTCCCTTGGCGGCACTCTTATTCAGGAACTACACCTTACATTTTATATACATTAAAAATAATTCAGAGAACTGCAAAGTAATTCAGAAGTTAGTTATGGGGTATACTTTTTGTCTTATATGCAAAAGTAATTCATTAATCAGCAGGATAAATACATTGGTTAATAATTTTTTGTTTCTTTACTTTAAAAGTAGCGATTTAAAAAATAATACTTACAATTTTTTTTGAATAAACTGTATATTACTCAACCAAGTTTTAAGAGCTACAATATATTAAATAGAGAAGATATATAAAACATGTACATATTTATATTTGTAAGCTTTTGTCTAAAAAAGTAATTCTGTATAATATAAATTATTCTTGTGTTTTATTTAAAAAGTTCAAAGTTGCTAATATAAGTGATTAAACAAGTTTATTATAATAATAAAAAAAAAAAAAAATAGTATATATTAAATCTATTAAGTTTGGGTTTAATTTATTTTAAATTCCAATGATTTATAAGTAGGGTTACTATGTGTCACATTGAACCTAGGTGCCGCACAAAAAATGCGCGGCAGATCCTCGATTTTGATTGGCTAAAAAAATTAAGCCGGAGTTACTCATAATTTATTAGTTAATGCTGCCGCCTATTAAATAAAAATTGTTCCTGGGCCAATTTTACCATCATACGTGCTTATTTTTTAAAAATTTCTATTTTTGCAATGAAAAAATTAAAAAGTCAATTCCGGCCGGAATTTAGTAAACAATTTTGTAATACGGACCAAAATTTCGAAGATCATCGGCCGTTAGCCAATCAAATCAAGGATCTGCCGCGCATTTTTTGTGCGGCAACTAATACGTACGTACTAGGGTAAATAAGTGTCACAGTGCTGTGCGGTTCGTGATCAGGTACGTGTTGATCGAATGTCTAGTGCGTAATTCATATCGGGTGATCACGATTTAATTAAAAGTTAAAATAATGATTACATGAACGATGTGCAAAGTATGTAATAATCAGTGGCGCAAACATGTATTAGTAATTAATATTTAGGGTATCGATCCTAAAGGGGGATACTAGAACTTTTGTTCCCGTTATCTCTTCTGAGTTATTCTTAGTGAATAAACTGTAATCAGTGTGAATACATTATTGGTAGCAGTATCTGGTACGATACTCCAGTCATCGTATACATTATAAAGTCAACGAATATATGGTAGTCTGGTAAATTTCATAAAATTAAGTTATATGAGACAGTGTTATACATGGAACAGTTTTGGACAATTTTGAACATTTTTTCAAATTAAAATTACTTAAAATTTTATTAAGATAATATATTTTAATTTTTTCATAAATGAATTTAGCATCTAAAAAAAATATACAATTATATAGTTGTATATCAGAATCCTGAAACACAAAATCCCAACACTCAAAATCCCAGCAACAAAATTCTAATATACAAAATCTCAACAAATTAAAATTCTAAAAATATTAAAATTAAGATTTTAATTTGTTAGGATTTTGTGTATTGGGATTTTGTTGTCGGGATTTTGTGTGTCAGGATTTGAGTTCTGATATACAACCCAATTATATATTTTTTAAATTACTTTATTGATTATTTAAATTTGGGATATTAGCTTGGACAATTTTGGACAATCTTGGATAGTGGACATTTCACATAATGTAAACACATCCTATATACAATATTAATATAAGTAACACTAAGAGAAAAAGAAATATTTAATTTTATTAATTATTTATCTGATAATCAATAATATATCAGGCTTTCAATTATAATAAACTAACCTCTAAAATCCTTGAAATTGTTATCTTAGTAAAAACCTGATATGTTGTTAATCATCAGATAGATAATTAATAAAAATGAATTTTCTCTTTCTTTTTTTTTTTTAATGTTAAAAGTGAAATTATGCTTTTATCTTTATTAAACTTAATAAAAACTTTTTATATGATTGGAAAAGGTTTTGTATTTTAAGTCTAATACTAAAAATAAAAACTTAGACTAACTAAGTGTTTAATAAAAGCAAACCCAGTGTTTTATTTGTAGCCTAAACCTAAATATTCTCTTTCTCTTGATATTACTTATATATAAGTTATATGTAAGTTGCTATAACTTACACCATAACTTATCTAACTTTATATAAATTACAATAATTTATATCTAAATTATAGTAATTTTAATAACTTACTATATAAAGTCAGTTGTTAGGTAAATTTTAACAACTCTAATTATAAATTATTCGAGCAAAAATATGATAAATAATAGAGTTTATATAATCTTATAAATTAGATAATAAACTTTGTGATTTCAATATTTGAAGCTTAGTTTCTAAATATAAAGACTCTTTTTATATTTGAAAATATGATTAGTTATTGTGTATATACAAAAGATGCTTTTATAGCAAAAAATATAATTTATCTTCTAGCAATAAACAATTAAACTGAGGTTTGTATTTTATTTTAAAGAATTTAAAATTTTAATATATTGATATACTGTATACTATTTTTCTAATATTTAATAACACTAAATAGGGTGAAGTCAATAGAAAAAAGACAAATTTTTTCTAAGTAAATCTTAACTTTAAGCTTAAATAACTTAATAATTATCTTATTAAATTTTATAATTTTTTTTTATTTTAATTCTATATAATTTCAAAATTAAAATAAAAAAAAATTTA